AGCCGCCCACATAAGTAAGTAACCCAAAACGCCTACGGCAGGACAAAGGCCAAAAAAACAAACAAAGGGGGTGGTGGAAATATGTGGCTCAGTAAACCAAAGTAAGTAAAATATTTACTGCCCAGTCAATTGTGCCGAATTGTTGGTTTCCATTTCCACCAAAGCTGTTAAGTCCTGGTGAAGGCAAACAATTTAAGTTGCAACTGGAAGGAATACTTCCCTACTAAGAAAACTCGAATCAAAAACGTGCAAATTATTAATAATTTAAACCTTATGCGTACCTTATTTTTAATATTGAAGGACCTACATCCTTCTTTCATACACATATGTATTGAAAATACATATTATTGCCTACAAAATGATGGCTTACCTATCATTTGGTTGTGAGATAGATAATTTAAATATGGGAAGAGTACAATATTATCAAATAGGTCTATAACAGCTTTGGTTGAATGGAATCCTAAAGTATCCCAGATGTAATGATCTAATTCCCTTAAGACACATTTGACGCAGTACTACGTGGCAGCCCCTGTTTGTAAAACAATTGCCAACTCACTCGCGAGAACAAATACAAAACGTAGAACAATAAGGGAGCAAGCGGAAAAAAGCCAACAACAAAAAGGCAGAAGAATTAAGTAAATAAATCTGAATGCTTTCTAAATAATTAACATGCCGGGAGCTCACTTTCATTTAAACTGGGTCTCCGCCACTCATTGAGTTGTTCAACTCAACGTTGGGCTTAGACGGCGACAAATCCCCGGTGTCTGTGTTTGAATGATTGTGGAGCATTTGTTGGGGCATGAAATATAACCACCCACCACTCAGCGCCCACCACCCACCACCCACCGAAGCAACCCCCGGAAAATCCCATGGATTGAAGGAAACACCTGAGTCTGCGTCTCGAGAGCATCAAGAGTGTAGGCGTGTGAATAATGGCAAGTAATTAATATTTTTGACATTATTCTTGCGAACGCAGAAAAAGCGGAGGACATTGTGCGATGTCCTTTAATTAGCTCGGAAAATGTTTCGGAAAAACTGGCGCATAAGTCATAAAGTGCAGGAAATCGAAGGATGAGTGTGTTCCATTAAATGCAGCTAGCCATCTGAATAACGACTTCAGTGGCATTTTAATTGCCCGAGCCAAATGAAATTTCGCAATAGCGTTGCCATTAAGCGGGAATCTTGAGATATAGTCAGATAAACACTCAAACAGGACCAAGTGCTGGCGAACATAAAAACGTAATGTCCTGCAATTTGTTAAAAGACGCGCAAACTGCCCAATAAAATATCGCCAAGGCGATGGCTTTAATGTGATTGGAAAGATGTTGTGTGGCTAAAATCAGAAGCCCCACTTCAGCTAATTGTTTGCGTGCATCCTGAGCATGCGGGTCCAACAGCTGTGTCCACAGGACCCTGTGTTTGCACTCTGGACAAGGAGAATTGCTCAAATAGTGGTCGAGACACAAACGTGTGTGCAAATAACTCATGCACAATGATAAATCAAAGTCACTTAGCGTTGATGTCGATTTGAAATTCACTTACAGCCCCGCCGAGTGTCACAGTACTGACCAAACACAGAGCTCAAAAAGAAGGAGTGGCAACCCAAGGACATATCATTTATATCAATTTAAATAACGACCTTTCAATGGTCAGGGAAAATCCCGTGAAAAGCTCGCCAGCAAATGCTTAGATGGATGGTCGGACGAGGCATTGACAGTTGCAAGCCATAAACCACAGAAAATTGGGCATTATATTAGTTAAGATGCTGTCAGGCCGAAGGATATCCCATTCCCAAGGACAAGGGACAGCCCTCCGCGCAGACATATCGCTTTCAGCACGGAGCTAGGAGATAATCGGGCGGACCAGAGTATCTGGTAACCGGCACTAAAACACCGTTTGACAGGCAACGAAAGCCCGGAAAGCGGGAATCCCCAACATTGAAATCGAGTCAGAGGAAAAGTGACCGCCAGATAAGCAGGACGCATTCATCTTGGGGAAGTCCGAAGGATACGGGTGAAACACTAAGAAATCCGAATAAAGTTAAACAAAAGTTGGACACACATATTAAGGGCTTAAAGTGTAGCCAGAACCTAAAACAAGCAACTTATCTTGACAGCTGGACTGTGCACTTAACCAGGTTACCCGCAAAATACACCTATATATCTTGATCAATTTTGCCGGCGCGAGGTGGTAAAAAAACAAACTTAAATCATAGCCAGCTTTTGTTCAGCTTTCCAACCTGGTTCCAGTCGCCTTTTTTTCCCGGTTTTGTTTTGCGGGCTTTGTCTGCGCCACTTTGCTTATCTTGGCCACACTTTTTATTGGTCGCCTTTATTTGGCCTGACATCCCCCATATTTCACCAAATAACAGCAGCAGAGATAAGTGGCAACCGGAAGGACATGCGAATTAGTTACGTTTTTTGTGGAAAACATCCTCGGGAAAGGGTTCAAAAGTAAGAGTTGCACAGCAAATGAAAGGGAAATCAAAAATGTGCTCACCTAACCTTTCCAATTTTCCACTTATCCAAATGTCACAAGTAACTCCAAGATATTTATGGGATACAATAAATTACATTGCAATTTCATAAGCTGTTTCCGCCGAATCAAACTGAAATTTACAGCTCTATCAAAAATTATCGCTGCAATTTTTCAAGCGCTTTTTTTTTAAGTATGTAAGAAATCAAAATTTCATTGCCACCGCAAAAATCAAATTTCCAGCACTGCTTTTTTCACGTTTCTCTGCGAAATTCGGGCTTTCTCTGGGATGTTTTCAAACATGACACCTGAAACTTTGGCATACAAATTTATGAAAATATTTGCACATCCATTTCACGGCTTGAGGAATGGGAAGGCAACACCTTTTGGCTTCATTGAACTTGCAGCCTCGCATTACACAAAGCCAGTGGCAGAGTCTGCCCCCCGATACACATGCAAATGTGTACAAACTGAATCAATTTTTACCGCGATAAACTTCGGCTCCACCTTTTGCGGGGCACAGTGGAGGGGCACAGGATTTTACGGCGCCGAGGTAACTGCAAAATGTTGTGTAAAATTTGCAAATGCAATAAATAACTCGTTTCGGTGTAGCGAGAAAAAAAAGGATTGCTTCTGCTGTTTACACCCCCTTGCAAAGGCGTGTAGCGATTCCTCTTTTTTCGCTCCTGTATCCTTTTTTGCTCCTGTTTAGGGTTTTCATCCCCCCAGCCGAAACGAAAAGCGCGCCACATGTGCGAGTCTGGTTGTACTTCCTGTGGGTTGGAATACTCTATAAAAATGAGCAGTGTTGAGTAAGTTTTGTATTAAATGTGTCCACATGTTGTCTATAAGATAGTTCCGTACTATCCGCTGCATGTTGGAATACTCTATAAAAATGAGCAGTGTTGAGTAATATAAAACTTAAAAATGTGTCAACATATTGCCTATAAGATAGTTCCCTACTATCCGCTGCATGTTTTTGACAAAGTCGAATATTAATCATTCGTAACTATTGCTGTAATATTTACAAAGTATCTGTTAAAATAGCTCCCAAGTTGTTGGTAATAAAAGGAAGGGTATTTTGAGCCCAGGCAGAAGGCACTATGCATATTACACCCATTTTTGTTTCGCTCTGCGTGTTTTTTGGAGTGCTGCAAAGCATCCCCGAAAGTATGCAAATAATTTTTGGCCCCAACTCATATTTGATATTCAGTGTCAGTTGTTGGAAGGGTTACCGAATACAAGTTATTGAAATTTGCATGCAACGGATGGGGAGTTGATAAAGGGGAAATGGCTGGGCGGAGGAACAGCAGGCGTTGTTGAGGCAATTTATAGCACTTGTGTTGGGGGGCTGTTTCGCCAGAGGCAAACTTCTCGGTTATTGTTTCGCCATATAAAAGGCGCTGGGATTTCTCGGCCCCGAAGGACGTAATTGTTTGGCAGTCTTTGGGCTTGATTATGTGCCCTTGATTTTTTGGTCGTGGAATTTGCAGCATTCCCAAAAACTCCACCCTTTCGCACAGATTCCCAATTAAGTTTAGACTGGTTGAACGCTTCGCATCCATCAGGATTTGGATGCTACATTGAAAAGTTACCAACGCAACGCTAGCCGCACAAAAAATGACATAAAAAGGTTTTAAGTCCCTGGAAATCGCAAAAACTACGCTAATAACATTGTCATATGGCGGGGGTGATGGTGATTTTTTATCTCCTCTTTTTTTTCAGTAAACTTCGCTTATCAAAGTTGAAATTGCAGTTCGTTGCTGAGCGCAGCGCATTGGGGATTTGTCGGCCACTCGAAAACTCCAAATGCGAGGCATTTATTGTGGGGCAGGAATAGAGGATTTCATTTGAAACTCTGATGCGAACAATCGCCGTTTTATTCCCCGTTTTGGAGCGCCGAGTTTCATCATCGTACGCCACTGACCCAGTTCACACATTTATCACACTGATACAGGCGATTGTCCTGAGGGTCTAACCCCAGCGCCATGAATGACCCCATATCGCAGCCTCCGCCCCACCCCCTTCCCCTTGCCGCACTGCTGACTAAGTGGACTTTTATTTCACTGCTATTACGGCCCAGGCTGCGTATACGCAATGAATAGTTTCGCTGCCGAGCTCTCGGCATTCTAGCCATCTTCAGTTGCTAAGCGATTTGGATTTGGGCAGATACATACGAGTATCTCACGGCTTTTGATGGGTTATTTGCCCGCTGCGAGAGATAAAGAGCCACGGGCTTAAACTCTTCAGACGCCTGCCTGAATCACAATCATTGTTGAATGCAGATAACTACTGTCTGCCCCCGGCGGCGTCCATTCATAAATGTGGAGCCAATAAACCTCCACCTCCAATAAAACCTCACTTATCTGCCGGTGCTTCACCTACGAAACGTCATTGACTGGATGCCGTCATGTGTCATCTCTACGAAATTATAAATAATTTATTTCATTTGGATAGATAAGACTATCTACGACTGGCTCTGTTTCGCAGTCTATTCAGTTGAGTAGAGTATTTTCAGTAGACGAACGCCTTTCGAGCAAACCAGTCAGCCATGAGCTACCAGAATATCCTAGGCTTTCTGCTCTTGGTACGTAGGGAATGTACTTTTTACTTAATTGAAAGTAAAAAAGCAAGGCTGTAGCTTGTTTAATTAACATTATTTTAACATTATTTTTGTCACATTCACTTCATATTGACCAAATGCTTCTGTATATTTGCAGCTGACCGCTTCTTCGCTCAACGCGTCTGGGGATCAAAGTCGCTATCGGCTGTATTTGCAAACAGATTACGCCTTGCAAACAATCAGCACCCAGCTAGTTTCTCAGGCAACCGAGCTGGTGGACTATGTGGTGGAAGACCTGCTCGTCTTGGACTCCCGAAACCCCATTCTGCTGGGCTATTTGGATCGCTTCGACGCCTTCACTGCCGTAGCTGCAAACAGGACCGAGCAGAAGCTCGATGCCTTCTACGTCGTGATTGAGGACTACCTAGATGCGGATACCACAGGAGACCCACTGAGGACGTCCAGCATCGAGACCCAGCTGATTGCCCTTTGCCTGCAGCGCAACGGGTTCGACCGATGGAAGCGAACGGTCCAGACCCGGACAGCCCAGCTCCAGAAGCTGATATACCGAAAGGTGAGAATGCACCTGGAGTCCATAGACAGGGAGGACCGAATGGCTGTGGAGCGCCGGTGGAGGAGAGTCCTAACTCGTGGCGGAGCCCGCAGACTGGAGAAGCTGAGAGAGTTCGTCCAGTGGCTGGGAAACTTTAGAGATTAGAGGTTGGCGGCCAGGGTGAACGATACGCCGTTTAGTGATAAGAAGAGTGATAAACACGGAGTAAGAAATGTTTGTGGCTTAATCATAACCAGCCATGACCTCGAGGTATTGTCAATGAAAATAACATAAAAACGGAGCTTGCATTTCATGAACATCAAGAGTTGGAACATCATTTGTGGTATACAACAAAAAGCGGATGTTCCCAAAAGAAGCGTATTAATAGTATTTGCAAACTCACAGTGAGGCGACGTCTGGCAGAAAGCAAGTGCATCGAAGCTATTATCCTGTCGTGTCCTTGCACTTACGCCCCTCCGATAAATGCAATTTTTGCACAACACGTCCCCTTCTCCATCGCTCATGTAGGAGGGCATTGTTTAATGCACTTCACAGCTGGAGGAAACTTTTCCAGCCCCTGTGTCGACGGCAATGAAAACTTTGTCATGCCTGGCAAAGAGGATGATAAACTTGGTAAAAATTATGAAACTGAATATGGAAGCGTTGGCGAAATTGAGACGGCAAAACAACAGATCCAACAGACAGGCAAAAGACATACGAGACTTTCAGCCATGCGAGGACTAGAACTGCAACTAAAACTGATACTTTTTATGGATGGCAAGTGAAAAATGTAGACAGTTGCACAACGACTTTCCTTGGGGTGGGGCGGGATTTGCTGGGATGAAAGAAAAATGGCAACTGCATTTCCTGTCTGAGAGCTGACAAAGTGCTGAGTGCATTTACGACTTGGACTTGGGCGAGTGTTTTGTGTCTTTCCTGCAGCTGCAGATGCCCGGAATTTATGCACTCAGTCCGCAGAGAAAGCCCTGCAAATTCCTGACCTGAGGCATTTTCTGTATGTCCTGGGCTATTTTCTTTGAGCCATCTGATAATCGGCTCCAGCTGTGGCTAATCGGTTTACATTTGTCACACTGGCACTTTGGCCGAAGACGCTCAGCTAGTTGAAACTATATAACTGCTATTATGTTTGGTTAATGTCATATTGAACTTCAATGCGTGCCAATTTAATTTTACTCTATTTTACACTATTTTGCCAGAAGTGCTTTCATACAGCTTTTAGAAAGTACCAACATAATAATTCCTCTTGGGCCTCAATTCATACAAAATATATAGTTTTATAAGCACAATTTTCAGTTAAGATGACGGAACTGTATCGCAGTCAGGGATCCATTTCCATAAACTCCTCAACTCGGCTTCTACAGCGAATACAGAAAAAGGACTTCATAAAACCAGAAATGACCAGAAGAGCCATACATGCAGCGCACATCAGAATGAAGCCACAAATTACGGCGAATATGAATAGAAGTCCATAAGCCCGAAGGTTTGAATCCGGTGGTTCGGTGGTGGACTGGGTCACTAGAGCTGTCATGTTAAAGTCTAGATCGTTGAATTCATATTCAGACGTCAACTTGGCCATGGCTTATGGGCAATATATTGCAAATTTGGACGATTTCGATAAAGTATGGAGAGCTCTAAAGGAAGGTTAATCTTTATGAGCAGAGACACATCATATCATATCATCTTACCGTTCCTCGCCTAGCAGCTCAAGAACTTCGATTTTGGTTAGTTTTTTTTTTTTATAATTTTAAGAGTATAGGCGCAGCTTACTGAAATCCGTTTATTTTCCAGTTCGATGAAATAAAGTAATTTAGAGTGCTGTTGCCTTTAAATGAGAAGTCTGCTAGCCTTGTTAATAAATAATACATGAACAAATTGATAATATTTAGCCTGATTTTATTATTTTGTACAAAAAACAATAATTTTGTCGAGGAGCGCCTAATGAATCTATATCTGTGCGCATTAAATGTATAGGCTTTCGAATCGCATGTCCTATCACGACGTATGTATGAATAGACACTGGAATTGCCGCCGCGCTAAACGTCCAAATCGTCGGCCAAATCGCCACAGTCGCCACACCCATCCTCGCAGCAATCGCCACACCCATCCTCGCAGCAATTGTTGCAATCACCGCAATCGCAGCAGCCTAAGCAACCCAAGCAGGCGCAGCAGCCGCAGAGGCAGAGGAGCGGCAGGCAGATGATCAGCAGGCAGCAGAGGAGCACCATTACCACGATCAGGGCAATGATCGCGGCACCCAGGTTACCGGAATCGGTGGCCCATGGGGACGGTTCCGTCATCGTGTTCTTCCCACCTCTTGACTAATCTCCTGGCGACTTGGCGAAAGTATTGAAAGTAGCTTATTGTAAATCAGTGTAAAAACCAGATAACATTGTTGAGTTTGTATTCAAGGACTCCTGCAGCACATCGGCAGTTTTTCGTTTCGCTTCAAGGGACTGGAGTCACTTTCCTGGGGGTTGCCACACCAAGTGACTCCCAGCGATCTTTCCCCTTCAACAGCCGTTGCACAAAAGTGCTCATTAAACCCACGCCATACAATGCCCATTCGAATTGTATAAAAATTAATGAAATGCATTAACGACAGCGTTTGGCGAGGGGCGGCAATGGTGGGTGGAACTGGGATCGGGTTGGCGGCGGGGTAGTCCTCGAACGGGAATCTGCGGAGCTGTCCCTGAGCTCCTGAGTGTACCTGCCCTCGTTAGCGCTCCATACACCCACTCTGTGGAACCCCCACTTGGACTCATATGCAGAAACACACCCTCGCCTCACGCCATCATTATCATAATTTGCGTGTGATGCGGGCTTTAAAATATTCATGCGAGTAGAAAGTTTTTTTTTCAAGTGTGCGCACGTGTGCGCGTGGGTTCGTTATGGGGCGCTGTTTACTGTACCAAGAGCTCGTTGATTATAATGACTGTATTTTGTGTGCTGATTACTCCGCAGAGAAAATTAAGAAAATGAGTCAACAACTTAACGCAAAAGACAAAAGGAGCTTCCATATACAGAGTTTTATTTATACACTCATATTCGTGGCTTCCATCCAGCAATAAGTAACTCAAGGCTGCTCAAATACTTCTGATAATAAACTCACCGGAATAGTAAGAGCCACCTCTCGTTTCGAATCGCAAATCAGTGATTGCAATTGGGAACTATTAGACACGTTTGTCGGCCAATTGGCAGCGGCAGCATTGAAAGCTCATTCAATTCACTGCCTCACACTCACACTCAGACATGCATGCACCCACACCTGCACACTCGCACACACACACGCACACCTTTAGCATATAGCATCATGGCACACGTGGCTGCATGTCAAAGTGCAAAGTTTTGTGCCACAAAAAACAAGCTGCAAGGGGTGGCGATGTGGGTAATGGCAGTCAAAAGCGCCGCTTGTCGATGTTTTCAGAAAAAAAGAGAAAGGGGATAAAATTGTAGGGGCAACCAGAAAAAAGTTACGTTTTTCACGGCGTTGTTGCTGGCAACCCTTTTAGCCCTGGCAATTTAAGCTCGCCTGCTCCAAAGTTGCCCACTTGCCACATCCTGTCGCTGGCGTTGTCCTTGTTGCTGCTGCGGTTGCTAGTTGCCGCAGCCCCCGAACGGCTGAGGATCCTTGGGGCTAGGGGCTGGGGGCAACTGCGTGGCATGCAATGCGCGATTGCACAAAGTCAACTTGCACATTAGAATGCGACGAAGGATGAGTTGCAGGGAAAGGATGCCGGGCAAACACGTTAGCTTGAGAGGCGCAAGGACTAGGCTCATCTGTCTGCGATTCTATCGCGGGCTAAAGCTGAATATGAAATATTTTCGGAAACTATTCCAATCTAAGATAGGGATTTTTAACAATTTCCCGATATGTTTCCGGGAACTGATATGTTTCCACTCGAACTGGTCCAAAAAGGCGCAAATGAAAATCATTCGCAGCTGGACCTATGTGTATTCCCAACCAATCATCATCATCATCAGGAATAAACGGAATGGCAATGGCAATGGCAACGACTATGATCGCGTTCGTATTCCGCCATCATCGCATTCATTGGCACTCAACGGGGCAGCGAATCGCAATCGTAAACTTGATTGTAATAGTATAATTTTTGGCGTAAAAGCCAAACAAATAAACAAGACAAGCACTTGGGAGCCCGGCGCATCCCATCCGGCGGATGGATAATCCCGCACATATGAGTGGGATGAAAGTGGCGGCCGAATTTGCCGGCCCCATTTTCATGCAATCTTTATGACTTGGCTCTGTGCGCTGTTCTTTATGCTTTGTGGGGGCGAATCGAGAGCATCTTACTCATAATCCGCCCCAATGGACCTTTCTCTGCAGGTCTGCAAAACCATTTACTTTTCCCCGCCCAGAAGCTGGCTTTTCATCGTTTTCCCTTATTTTTGCCCTGCTTACCACGTCCCGCATCCTGCGAAAAGTTATTGTTATCCTTTTGTTTTAGTGCGCATCTTTTATACTCGTTTCAGTTTTCTCCTGTTCTTATTGCCTTGGCCGGCGTTTTCGCATTGATTCATAATACATAAATATAAATATTGCGTATACGCAGCGTTTCGCTCGCCCTCGATTGCCATAAATTCTTATAAGCGTGGCAGAAACACACACACTATGCGAACGCCCAGCGCCAAAGTCATCAATCTTTCAGCATTTCACTTAGATAAAGCAAACTTGTACTCCCTTCCCCAGCCCCAATATTTGTGCATAAATATTAATATTGCATGACCATTTTTATTTGTTTGCCGGCCAGAAAGGATCTTGGACTTTCTACAGTACTGGAATCGATAAGGCACTGTGATTATAAGCTCATGCTGCTGGCCCAGGATTCGCTGCATATTAATGTTGCAGAATTACCATTAGATTTAAATTGGTAAGCCTGCCTAATTCAAACTGCAGTCCTTCAGCTGCTGACTACAATAAATAATTGACTGCCCCTTTTTCCTTAGCTAAATCGTAATGATTGGTTTCTCCCGGCCAACTCTTGCCAATAAATTCGCCCTGATTTATGTGGCTAAATAATTAGCGCCTTTTAGGAGCTATTAAATGGATTCCAAACAACGCCCTTGAAAGCCCATCAATCGGCCATTCCCCATTCGCCTGCCAGTCGAACGAAGGGGTAATAAATTGAATGCTCCAATATTTTGGCACGGGTGCCATTGAATTTAAATATGTGCAATTACATTTAAATGTTTGGTCATGTGTGGATTTCGATTTCGGATCAAACAGCTGAGTGGGAGGTGTCTGCGAAAGTATCTTTGCCTTCG